ACAAACGTATCAAAGCATTAAAATCGTCGAATATAAAGCATTTGTACATGCTACCGCTCAAAATACGTGTTTTATTTGCTCACTCGTCAACACTAGTATTAAATAAATTAAACTTTTTAACAGGTGGCAACTCTTAAAAGAATAGCCTATTATCCAATCTGGCCCATAAGCTATCAGCGTACCAAATTTCATGCAAATCCGTTTAGTTGTTTCCGCGTGATGATTTCCCAAACATCCAAACATTCAAACTTTCACATTTATAATATTAGTAAGATAGCACTGTACGAAGGGAAAATACACCGAAATAAAACTGTTCGGACATGTACCTACCTATGTGCGAAATAATGGCTTTGAGACATTTTGACCAGTTCTGCCTATGCTTTCATTGATTTTATATGAAAGTCTAGCTCATAACTTAACGAACATCATATATGTTTGTTCACAAATCGACATTTCAAGCTTTGTACAAAGATTATAAAAATTCAGCAAGTTTTCATAATAACAAACTTTTAATTCAGAATTTTTTGAGAGATTCCAAGTTTACGATTACACGAATTTTCTTTCATATAAAGTGTGTTCGAAAATTTTTTAAATTCAATGAAATGCATGACACCAGGAAAAAAAGTATCAATATTTATGGACAATAAAATTACATATCTAAAAAATCTGAATTAAAACTTACATGCATATACATAGTTGTACGTAGCCGTATGCATGGCCGGAGTTTGCATAATCGGAAGTAATAATCAATTGTACCGCATTTCCTCTTACTCTGCATATGCCTAAATGTATGCAACCATTTGCAATAGCACAGGGCGCTTCTAATGAAATAAAAAATTTGCTGCTGCAATACACGCTGCTGCCCTTCAAAATTTTCTGCTGGGATATGCGAAACATCTTCGAAAATTTTACCCGTACCGAAACCAAAGATATATGCACTTGAAAAATATGAAATTAAAGCTCAATTGAAGACCTTTCTTAAAGAAAAACGAGCACATCTGGGTGAAAATCCTCTCGATTGGTGGAAAACTAAACTAAAATACGACAAATTGACAGATCTGGACCGCAAATATTTGAGCGCTCCACCCGCCAGCGTTCCAAGTAGCAATTGTTTAGTGCAGCTGGCCTTATATGCGAGCATCTAAGAAATCGCCCCTGGGGAGAAATGGCAGCAAAATTACTTTTTTTGAAATATAATATGCCCCTTTTGAGCTTTGACTACTAGATTAATACACTGTATATTTTAAGCACTCGTTCAATGTTCTAATAATTTACAAAATTTTTAAGTAATGAACACGACGACTTAAATTGATTATAGCTTTTTTACTGTTATTCCTAACATTCGCATTCGCATTCACACATTCGCATTCGCGAATGTGAAAAATATGACATTCGAAACATCCCTAGTGGCAAACTATCACGACTATCGATAGTGCTTCCCTATCCAATGAAGGTGACTATCAGCCGGGCTCCCATTTCCACTTACTTTTGCGATTTGCGTTTTTGTAAAAATCGTACGTTTTTATTTTTGGGTGCTCCTGAATTCGCAAGTTTTTGTTATCGATAAGTTCCATTTTCCACATCGTTTCCAGCATTCTTAAAAGCCATCCCTTGAAGGTATGCAACAATCATCGCACATGTCTCGTCCGCACATCGTAAATCTTCGTTGCTTCGATAAATTTTCGTTGCCCAAAACGGAGATGTGTATAATAAATATTTATTTATTTATTTATTTCAGTCTACCGAAAACATTGGTTTCTTACAGACTACAATTGCAAGTTAAACTTAGGTGTATAAGTTTAGTTGAATAATACAAAGAGCCTTAATCTAAATTCTGACTCATTAACATTAAAATCTAACATCCCTTTAAAACTATTACATAATCGTATACACCTATTAATTGGTTCATTAATTATATAGTTTGCCTTGTGGGTCCTATCAACCAAAAATCTATTACTACGCAGATTAATGGGCGGTTCATATAAAGGAAAATAGTTTGAAAGTTCAGAACAGTTTACCTAACCGGATAATATTTGAAAGACAAACAAAATGGAGTTGGATATTCGCCTATCGCATAGGGACTGTAACCCTAGCAGTTTTCTTCTGGCCTCATAAGGTGGAAGATCACTAGTCCACTTCATTTTTTTAATTGCATATTTAGTTATGGATCGTTGGATCCGTTCTATTCGATTTGAGTGACTACAGTAAGATGGATTCCAAATGATAGAACAGTATTCGATGACACTACGAACCATTGATGTATAAAGCGCCTTAATGGTCATAGGGTCCTTAAATTCCTGACTGTTTCTTTTGATAAAGCCAACCATAGAGTTCGCTTTAGCGATCATATAATCATAGTGATTTTTGAAGCAGAAATTTGAACTAAATATAACGCCCAAATCTTTTAACTCATAATTACGAGCCAAGTCATGATTGTTTAAATGGTAATCAAATAAAATAGGGTTGGTGTTTCTATTGTAGGTGACTACACAACATTTGCTTATATTTAAATGCAAGTTATTTATTTGGCACCACTTTAAGAGTGAGTATAAATCTTGTTGAAGACTTTCACAGTCAGAAAGGTTCGACACTTTTTTAAAGATTTAACGTCGTCAGCAAACATAGGCATTTGGAAAAATTCAGACATTGCGGTAGATCGTTAATAAAAATTAAAACAAAAGAGGTCCACTGTGTGTACCTTGCGGAATTCCAGAATGCGCTGTAACAGCGGTTTATGAATAAACGCCGCCAATCTTAACATGTAACATGCGGTTTATAAGAAAACTTTTAAAGAATCTTAGTAAAATTTCGGATAAGCCTAAGAGTTTTAATTTTCTTAGGAGGATATAGTGATCAACCTTGTCAAAGACCTTTGAAAAGTCAGTATAAATAACGTCAAGCTGCTTTTTACTCATAAGTGCATTAGTGATATTTTTTGAGATCAATGTCAAGTTGGTGCAGGTAGACCTCCCTGGAATAAAACCATGTTGACAGTCTACAATTTTACTGCTTATGTGGCTCAGTAGTTTCTTTTGTATTATGTTATCGAACAATTTAGCGAATGTACTTTGTTTGACAATCGCTCTATAGTTTTTCACGTCACTGCGATCACCGGACTTAAAGATTGGAGAAATTGAACAAACTTTCCAGCGGTCGAGAAAAACTCCATTCTTGATACAAAGGTTAAACAAAAATGCAATAGGCTCAATGATGTGACAAGCACAGTGTTTGAAGAATATTGCTGGAAGCAGGGTTGCCACTTTGGTAAATTGTTACCAAAATTGGTAGAAAAAATTTGGGTTGGTAAAAGGGTAAATTTTTTCTCATTTTGGTAGATTTTTGTTGAACTTTTCGTTCCCGATTTATTTTTCGTAGTTATCTTTATTTAAAAAATTTCTTTGAATACTCTTTATATACTTACATACGTGTAAACGTATATTGATATAAGGCGAACATATCGTGCTCCATTCAAAACTAATTTTCTTCAAATTGTTCTTCAAATTCAGAGTAAAAAATTCGAATATGGACGAAATTTTTTTGAATTTTTCTAAATGTTGTATATAGTTTGAATCCTTAATTTTTATGGATTTAGTTAAAGCAACAAAAAAATTTTACATGAAAAACATTGCGAATAATAAAAAAATCACCAAGTGCCTTTTTGAGTATATATATATTTGTCTATAATAACTCGAGTTGAAGTTTTTCAAATTATGAAGTTTCGTTATTGCCTTTAGTTTCATCACTTCCGCTTTTGGTTGAAGGAAACTGCGAGTTAAATAAATAAAAATTTCCTTAAAAACAATTTTAATTCTTATTGAAATAACTAAAAAAAAATAAAAAACCATAGTTTTAATTAAAATAAATAAAAAATAACAAAATTATAGTTTTTATTAAAAAATCTATAACAAATTTATTGGTAGATATTTTCCAGATATGGTAGATTTTTCTCAAATGGATGGTAAACATTTTTTTTCGTCAGTGGCAACCCTGGCTGGAAGGTCGTCACGCTCATATTTACAACTTGGCTTTAGATCCACAATTGCAGAAACTAATTCATCTTCAGATATAAGAAAGTCTTCAAGAGAGATACTTTCAGTAAATTGCTGGTGAGATGAGCACATGCGTGGGTTGAACTCACAGTAAGTTTTGAAAAAACTTGGCAAATAGATTGAATGCTTCTAGCGTGTTATTTGAGCGCTCGCTATTTAATTCTAGACTTGATGGAAGGCCGTTTGTTTTGCGCTTTGCATTTAAATAATGCCAAAATGATGACGGATTTGCTTTCAAATTATTTTCCGTTATATGAAGGTAATGCTTATAGAGAAATTTATGCAGAAGTTCAAATCTGTCTCTCGCTGGTATAAATTTGAATCGATCCGACTCTAACTTAGATCTTTTAAATAACTTAAATGCTTTGTTTTTGATGTTTTTGAAATTCAAAAATTTTTTATTAAACCATGGTGGGCTGTTATTTAGTGAGGAAACTTTCAAAGGGATAAACTTGTTGATACTGATTGAAAATGTATTGCGAATGTAATTGTAAGCATCTTCTGCATTACTTAATGCCATTAAATTATACCAACTACAGTTGCTTAATGTTTCGTTTAATTTACCAAAATCGGCTTTACTAAAGTCTAACTTTTCACAATACGAAATAGATTCCCTATCGAAATTAAAAGATTTTATTTTGATGTAAAGGGCTTTATGGTGTATACTATTACTAAGAAGTGGTGTACAGTTCTCCTCACAATATACGTTTATTTCACCAGATACGAACACCAAATCTAGAATTCGATTAAGATCATTTTTAATGCAGTTGATTTGATGAAAAGAGTTTGAAAGAAAGAAGTCAGTTACATACGACTCCAAGTCTGTTCTGACATTAGCTGGTAATAACAATTTATCATGATGATTCCAAACAATGCTTCCTTGGTTAAAGTCACCCAATACAATACAATATTCATTTATATTTAGCGAGTTAACTCTAAAGCTAACATTATTAAGAGGCTTGACATACAGCTCAATTGGGCTGTTTGGTGGTATATACGATACAATAATGTATAGAGATTTATCATTAGCGAAGGAGATTTTTACACACAGCTGTTCAACCAGAGCATCGTTAATAAGTAATTTTGTTGGGTTCACTTACGCTAATTGTAAGGTTTTGGTATGATTGTTTACGACATAAGGGTTAAAGCACAAGTCTACACAAAAGTAGCGTTTGTAATCTGATATTCCTCTTTTTTCTTTGTTCGTAACCAAGGTTGCCACTGACTAAAAAAAATATTTACCAGCCATTTGAAAAAAAATTTACCAAATCTGAAAAAAATCTACCAATAACTTTTGTTTAGCTTTCTTATTAAAAACTATAGTTTTGTTCTATTTCCATAGAAATTAAAAGTTTTCATTGAGGAACTTTTTATTTAACTATTGATATGGTATTTAAGAAGGTTTCTTTCAACCAAAATCGAAAGTGGTGAAAGACAGGCAACAACGAAATTTCATCATTTGAAAAACTTAACTGGATTTATTATAGACAAATACAGCGACTCAAAAAACCCCTTGGTGATTTTTCTTATATCCACAATGTTGTTGTGTATACCCGAGCGCACTTGTGCACAAGGGTATTATAACTTTGTTCACATAACGGTTGTTTGTAACAGGCAAAACGAATCGAGATAGATATAGACAAATGTATACATAAATGATCAGAATGAAAAGAGAAATCGATTAAGCGGTGACTGTCTGTCCGTCCGTCCGTCCACCTGTGCAAACGATAACTCGAGTAAAAATTTAGATATCTTAACGAAACTTGGCAAGTCCACTTCTTTCGGGTGTAGGATGGATGGTATTGAAAATGGGCAAAATCGGACAATAACCACGCCTACCTCCCATATAACGGTAATTTTCAGAAATACGAAAACTGCGATATTTTAATAACTACTGAAGATAATTCACTCAAAATTTATATTTGCAATAATTTTTAGACGAAAAATAAGAATATTATAAATTTTTGGAAAATGGGCGTAGCCACGCTCACTTATGGTTATATGTATATATCTTGGTAACCGCTGCAACAATTTCTTCCAAACTTGGCACAGTTGTTAGCCTTGATACAACATACCAAATGGCCGAAAATTTTTAAAATCGGGCAATAACCTCGCCCACATCCCATATAACGGTAATTAAGAGAAAAACGAAATCTTCGAAAAATCAGTAAATATTAAAGCTAATTTATTCAAAATATTCAATAAAAATCAAGGATTCAAGCTATATAAAGAAAAATTACAAAAATTTTCGTCTAAATTTCGAGTTTCTAATCTGAATTTTTTGGTATGCAGTTTTATAGTCGATGGAAATTTAGTATAACAAACAATGTAGAAATACATTTATAATAAAAAGATAACCACGAAAAATAAAGCGGGAAGGAAAGTTTTATTTGTTTTTCAAACAAAATACTTTAACAAAAATCTACCAAAATGAACAAAAATTTGCCTTTTTACCAATCCAATTTTTTTCTACCAATTTTGGTAATAATTTACCAAAGTGGCAACCCTGTTCGTAACACTGAACTATAACTAGCTTATAAGATCTTATTAATCT